TTCGATCCTGTTCAATAGAGTCCGTTCATTTTGCCAAGACAATGCTCAATCCTAATAGTTCATATGAAGATAAAAAACAGGCTCTCTTGGCTGCTGTTAAAAGTCATAAAGACTATGCTACACAGGTAAAAATAGAAATTAAATGTGAATACTTACTTTGTATGTCTTCCTTTGAAATGTTAAACTTAAGAAGTTTCCTTGTTGGAGGGTAAAAATGATACTTGGTCTCATATTCAGCATATAGGGGTTATAGTTTATACAACAGATGGATCAGGAAGCATATATGACAAATTCAGTTGTATATCAGACTGGTTTGAGGAAGTAACAGAGGGTTGCATGCAGAAGACTAATTTCCAGATAGGGTGCATAAAGATCCGTGAGTGAGCCTCCATACTGAATAGTTCATTTTGGTTTAAAGTTTGAAGAGATGTACTTGTTTTCACTGCTTGTCTTAAAACATGGAAATACTCCACTTTGGCTTTAATAATATTTAATTTAATGTACCAATGTTTAACCGATTAGAATACACTTCTCATAAAAATCCAGATGCAGAGTGTGACAAAATGCCATAATATACAATAACATAATGATTAAGTTTTAATTTTCAAAACCTGAGCATTAAATATCATGTTCACACCACATTACAGGAACTGACTAACCACTTCAGCTCTGAAAGAAGTGTTGGTTCAGATTTTGATGAGATTTAACATTAACTTGTTGTTATAAGCATACCCTAAAATGGTATTTCTGAATCATAAATCATTCACTTACTGCCTGTTACTGACTTTCTTAAGCATGATACAAAACCAAGTAACTTCATGGAGCAGAGTACTTGAGAAGCTGGTGATCACCCAGCTAGTCAAGAAATTCCATGCTGTTATGGAATCTGAAGGTTCACAAATGCTTCATAAGAGCCTCCAATTGGATCTTTTCCTGAAGCAGAAGAATCCATTTTATTCCCTTATACCGTTTCCTTTGAGGTAAATGTTAATGTCCTTCCATTTACACGTAGGTCTCCCAAGTAGACTAAAATTTGATATGAATTGCTGATATTCCTCATGTATGACTATCAGCTTCTCAAGAAGGAGCCTGCTCCATAGAGTTACTTGGTTACATTTTGTCCCTTTACAGTGAATTGATTTTTAATTGTTGAAAGATAAAAAATGTTGGTTCCTGTTATCTTTAAGGATTTTTCCTGAATCTCCTGTTGTGAGTCTCTGAACATAGAATTTGTTTGTTACAGGCTGCATTTGGGCTAGGTGTAGACAGACATCTGCTAGGACTGAAGCTTGCGGCAATTGAAAATGGAATACAGATGCATCCTCTTTATAAAGATCCATCATATGTACGTAGCACACATTTCAAAATAACAAGCAGCCAGGTAAAGTATTCATATTACACTTAAAAAAGAATTTAAACCTAATTTTGTTCTAGTAGAATTGTAATTTTTGAAATTCCTGATTTTGTAACTGTTAATCTGCAATCCTACATTATGGAAGTGTGCCATTACGTTGTAGTCCAATTAGGATAACCATTTACCCCAGACTTTAAATGTATAAAAATAATGAATTTTGGTGAGTATTAAATGTAGTAATACTTCACTTTTCTCAGTTTTTCTGTTGTATAAATTAGTTTCAGATTGCTGTAAAATCCTCTCAGTTGATCAACCATGTCATGTTAAGTTTTTAACTCACCCAAGAGAATTTTATAACATTCAGTCACTGTGAAAGTTTCAATCTTACACACACTGTTGAAAATGTTATTCTGAGTTGTGATACCTTGGACTCTCATAGGTAGATACCAATATTTCCATCTTCAGCCTTGTAGATGCACATAGCATGCTTCTCCAAAAACATTGGTATCACACCCGAGAACACCATCTTCATCACCGTGAAAACCTCAATTCTCACACAAGCAGTGTTGTTCATAGAACTTATACTGTATACTGACATAAACATTTATTTTGACTCATGTTCTTTGATTCAAATGTTATATAAATTCACCATAATAATACAGAGTTTCCATTGCTAATACTTGGATTTCGTGGTCACTTTATTTAGGATATGTGCATACTTAAACTGAACTGTTGAGTAAGATGTAACATGTAACATAATGAGTGTGTTTCTTAACACATTATCCTTACCAGGTTGATTTAGATGAAGAGCTTTTTCCTTAGTTTCTATGTAGGGTAATATGTTAACAAGTTTGTCTCCGAAGGAATCCAAAGCCTGGAATTTTGTGTATTGTTGACTGCGTGTAGGGGAGGGATTCTGTACAGATGGGATGTAAGTTTAATCTGTGATTGCTTTAGTGAATACCAAGAAGAAAAATTAAATACAGGAACATTTTCTGCTATGAAAAAGGTTAAAATATTGAAGCACATAGCTATGAATATGGATTAGGAGGTAAAGATCCACTCATTTTAGACCTCAACCTTTGAAGGTAAGTGGTCAGCTTCATGCTGTGACCACTTTACACACACACACACACACGATGAAAGAGGTCCCAGTCTCTACTGAATAGTGGCATAATAAATTGTATGTGCTTTCAAATTGTTGGCTAACTTATAGACTGTTTTTATATTTACTTTCAGGTTGCTGGGAAAGGTAATTCAGTGATGTGTTATGGTCCAGTGGTTCCTGATGGCTATGCTTCATGCTACAATCCATTGGGAAACACAATTAACTTTGGTTTATCAGCTTTCAAATTAGGCCATGGCACTGATGTAAAGGCCTTCCATGATGCCCTGATGGCTTCATTTGATGACATGGAGAAAGTGATGGCTGTTGGTCACCAAACTAAAGCCAAGTTGTAATTTGTAAGCCATTATAGTATGTACAATTTTATCATAATGGTTATTAACTGAGTGGAGCTGGTGAATCTGTACTAGTCAGGTAATATCAGTTTGTCTGGATATACAGTATTTTATAGTAATGCTTTTGCTTTGTGCCTTCTTTAATCGAATGTGTCAACAAGTGACAAGCAGAATATTGTTTTCTCTCAGGTTTCCAGCACAGTAAAACAGTTCCTATTGTTTGAGGATGAAATTAGAGAAAGGATGGACCATTGATATGTTAGCACATAAGAAAATGCTGTAATATTACTGACACATCAGTTGTTTGATATACTGGAAAATGTGGAGGTACTTTAAAGAACAAAGTTATGTCTGAAGTTTTCCATTTTGATGGAATTTCTCTATTTTTATTGTCAATGTCCTTAAGGGTTAACTTGAGCCAAAATTATTGCAATACTTATGCTTTTTTTATCTGATAATATTTTGTGAAATGGAATTTAATGAATTTTGAAGTCTGAAGTTCATAATGAATGCAACTAGATAAGATTAATTGTCTTTGTAATGTTAACAGTGTTTTTCTTGTTACTTTTAATTATATTTACTCGCTTTCTATTAATAAGGAAATATCTCCATTCAGTTGAAAGACCTTACATTTCCATTGTATGTATTCATAATCACAATGATCATATATTATAACCTGGTGCCTTCAATGCAAATTAATGATAGAAATCTGTGATATTTAACATGTTAAACTGAAGAATCAATGTATATTCTTTGGTTGGCATATATTTTGTCTAAACAAGGCTGGTTAAGTCTGATATCCATGGCATTTGTGGAAGAATATTTCTTTAATATAGTGTATTTGACTTCTTATGTGAGATTTGCTGCTGGAGAGTGACAAGAGTTTTAGGTCTGTTATAAAAGAATCCAGTTGTTGCCATGGCATTATTAAATATGGATTGAATATGCTGGTTTTTATCATTGCATGGGCATATAGATATATGCACAGAAAAATCAAACACTGTATGTACAAACTGAATTTTATTTGTTTCATAATTGATGCATTTGTAATACTTGGTTTATGTAAGTTCTGTCACTTCTTGTAATAATTTCATGGTTGAATATTGTGCATGTGTTTTGTCAGTATGTCACATTAATATATATTGAGTATGCAGATAAGTGTTTATCTTATATAGCAAATATAATTTCAAAGTTTCCTAGTTTGTATATGAATTATCAATTCTTTTATATCATTACCATTCATTTACATTTCTTCCAGGATGTGGTTCACAAGAGCTCAAAATTGTGCCCCTCTTAAGCCTGATGACAAGTCTATATACGCCCATTCTATTTCCTTGAGATCCATCTTCAAATGATTCTATCTGTGGAGATGACAGTCTTCTGGGATGCTGTGCTCATACAATTGACCACTGTTTCAGAGGTGCTTACTTCCTCCATTATCAGCATGATTGATGGAGGCAGTAAGCACCTCTGAAGTTCCATTAATTTCTATAAGACTACACGGCACGACATCCCAGGAAATGGCCAACTTCATACTTATCATGTGAACCTGAAATCTCTTTTCCTAGAGCTCCCATGTGGTCTTTTCTCTCAGGTTTTCTGATCAAAATTTTGTATGTATTTCTCATCCTGCATCACCCTAACAATATTTGGCTACTTCTTGTTACTTTCTCTTCAGGACCCTGTTCTCAAGCTGGTATTATAATAATAAATACACAGTATACAATTTGGTGTTTAGATTCCCTTTTAAAAGACCAAATTGTAATGCAATACTGAAATGAATAAAGTCACCTTAAGGCCTTGTACAAATCTGCATTATTTCACGTTGCTCTTGTCTGGACTTTTAACAGAAATATATACTTTGTCAATTAGATAAAACCAGAAGAAAGGAAAATTACTTGTACTAATCCATTATAATTTTTTATTTTGAGTAGCTATCAACCACATGTATTATTGAACAGGCTAAACATTGACATTTTAAATATACTATAAAACAAAATGTTAAAAACAACTCATATATGTCTGATTAAATTGTCTTCAACTCATTCTTGCCTACATAATGCATAAACTATTCATAAAGAACTTCTGTACTAATATTGAATTCAATACAAATACAAACATATTCCATAATCTGAACTATTCAAACTGACAAAAGACTGTACATTGTTAATATACTTGCCCTAAGTAATCAGACATAATTGTATATCTTAAAATGTTATAGTGTTAATAAATTTCATCAATATTTTCATATATAAATACTGCCTCTTCTTTCACTCAGTCATTCATACATTCTTGTGGAATGGTATGTATATGAAAAATTAATGGCATAATTAGATGATTTGAAAAACCGGTGTATGTTCATCAAGTCATTTATGCTCGTTTTGTATCTGAAAGAACTCGCATGATACTTCCAACACCACCAACAACATATGCCTTTTCATGCCACAAGAGAAGATGACCACTGCTTCCTTCTGATGGTGACTCAAAGCCTCGGTAGACATACTTCATGAGTACATCCACTAGGTCTCGGTCCAGTGCACCAACAGCTTCTTCAATTTGGGAAGCCTTGATTGCCAGCAACACCCTCAGTGTTAGGTTCAAAGCATTGTCCTGTAAACATTACAATCTTTGTTTACCAACTTCAGTTCCTTTTATTATTAAAATTATCCAGTGTAAAGAGAATCAGTGAACACATCTGGAACCATATTTTATGCAGTCATAAATAATTATTATGCAAAGCAAGTCTTACTCTTTCTTTCACAGGCATTGAAAATCTTGAGCACGCTTCTTCATATGTTCAGTAAATAATGCCCTCTTGACCTTACTCAAAGTAGTTTGTGGATCAAAACTGACACTTGTTTCACATACCCAAAAGATCGATTCTCTAAATTATTTCATGTAAAGACAAATATGTTTGGAAGTAAAGCCAATTAAGTGAAAGAAACTGCCTACATGAACCATATCATCTATGAACCATCAAGAACTTAAATCTTTAATAGATGTCACTAAGAAACTAGAAGAAAACATTGATGATTTTAACCATATGATAATTTACATAACATTTTTTCACATTAAAGCAGAAAGAGGGTCCAACTTCTTCCATTTGACATACCTTGATTTGCTGATTCTTTGATCCTAATGGAGCATTCCGCAGTACAGTTTTTAAAGCATCAATATGTCGTCCCCTAAATACTGTTACAGAAAAATGTTTTAATGATCCAAGAGGACAAGGTAACCTGGTTCATATTATTAGACAAGGCCTATTTGGTGCAATAATGTAACAGGTTGTCTAATTGCCTATGTAATTTCATAAACACAACTGAACTATTTAATAGCTAAATGGACCATAAATATCTACTTTTTATGGCACACATAAGGGATTAAACTTAAGGCATACTCCCTGACCAGAAATGTGTCGACATGATGTGTATGTGTTCCCAGATGGATAGTGCCTATTCACAGGGTATCTGCATTATAGTTTATATATGAATACACATGTGAAAATCTGCATCCTCTCTCCTTTTTTTAACAGGTTATCCTGATTTAGTTTCTTTAAAATGTACTTTTAATTTTGTTTCATGATTATGCATTTGTGAGACACATTTAATGTGTGAGTACAGAGAGATAAACCAATGTATGGTGCAGGGGAAGAGTGAAAGTAAAATACTGATTCTCAAGTTTTCCACAAACTATCTTAGTATTCGGGCAGAATCAGTAGTATGGCAATGAGTGGCAACAATCAAAATACGCACAAAGAACTCATTGGTTTCTAAGTAATCCAATGAAGTTATAAAGCTAGTAATGAGACATTTCAGCTTTAACTGATAAGAATGAATGACAGTAAAATTAATAACAACTTTACCAAGAAACCAATTTGTTTTTAATCCTAAGTAGGAAATGTTTCATCCACCTGATATAGTCATACACACAAACAGCACATTTTCATGGCATCCTTCAGTTACTTTTACAGGCTCATTATTCATTACAATGAACTAATACCCTGGCTCATTTAATATGTGCCATACTGGTTTCATACACTAGAAAAATCATACACACTTAAATAAGTGTTTAAATACCCATTTTACTCCAAAAATGCTCACCTTACTCGGAACATGAATAATACGGTGTAGCTTATTAAATACTTGTATTTTAATAATAACAGGATGTATAACTAATGTGTCTACTTTCGTGTTGGTGAACTCTTACAGTTTCTATAAGGATACTGATTCATCAAGGCTGTAACTTCTGATTCGTCTGGTCCAATAGGTGCGGACTGTAATTCTGCCTGTTCTTCTTCTCTGTAATTGTCTTCATTATACTGATCGACATCAATTTTCCTGAATGCAGAACTTGATGTATTTTTTGCCATAGTTATCAGGCAAAACGCTTTAATAGTAATGTGATAACGTACTTCACTAACCTGCCACCCCAGCCAAAATCCCACATACCGCCATTTAGTGCCAACCTGATCCGTGCTGTTAACCACAGACCACAAGTTACCAGACGTATGTTAACAACTGACCTAACAACGTAGTGTTAACTTGTAGGTTGTGAGAGTGGAAATCCGGTTCCGGTCTACAGGCACGAAAAATGGTGAGTGTTGTAATATAGATTGTAAACTCCAAGTAATCTAATGCATCCTATATTGATGTGCAACACTGGGCCTTTGTACATGCATTTTCCTATGAAGGAAATATAGTAAATTTGTGTACAATTATGTAACTTCGATCATATGTTTTGTGATATATTTTAATTGAGGTTATGGTTAAGTTTAATTTGGCATGACGTAGGATTGCTTTCAGACTTCATGAATTTACATTTCTTTCTTTGAATGCAGGGTAAGGTTAAGTGTTCCGAGCTTCGGACGAAAGACAAGAAAGAACTGCTGAAACAGCTGGATGAGCTCAAAACTGAGCTTACCAACCTTAGGGTTGCGAAGGTGACGGGGGGAGCTGCTTCTAAGCTTTCCAAAATGTTAGTTTCTGTTGTACAGTTATATTTGCTTGTGTGTAGATATACTTCCATTTCTAACAAATTCAAATTTTATGGCATTAGAAGACTACTTGTAATACATAATATAAGAGATGAATGAAAATACATGTTTTTCTTCCTTTTTCTAGTCGAGTTGTGCGAAAAGCTATTGCTCGAGTGTATATTGTGATGCATCAGAAGCAGAAGGAGAATTTACGGAAACTTTTTAAGGTCAGTGCCCACCAAAGTATTCTTGGTATGAAATGCATTCATGTTTAATACAAATCCTTTGTGTTGTATAAAATGTATATTTCATTCTGTTTTTTAAAGAACAAAAAGTACAAACCTCTGGACCTGAGACCGAAGAAGACTCGTGCAATTCGCAGAGCACTCTCTAAGCATGAAAGTGGTATTAAGACCTTGAAGGAAATAAGGAAACGACGAGCACATCCACCAAGAAAGTTTGCTGTTAAGGCTTGAAATGCATGTCTGTTGATTTGCTGTATCATAAATAAAATATACATTTGAAAAATTATTTTTTCTTTATAACATGTCATGTATTTGGGGACTGTAGTGGGTCATCCCATCCTTGCAGGGAATTAAATTCAACTTCACATTAAGTGATTGTCAGGTTTCCGGATAACCCATATTTATTACAGGAAGTGTGCTTTCTGAAATGCCCTTGAAACAAATTTGTTGACTGAGCATTACTTTGATAAAATTAATGAAAATGTTAAAAAGAGATGTTGCATTTTTTATTTTTTATTCCTTTTCTCTTTGGTGGTATGACTGCTGCTGATATGTAAACTAGGATGTTTGACACATCACATAAACACTTCAATACTAGCATTTTTTCCTAATCCAAATCTAATGTGCCTCACATTTTAATGTTGCTGGTTACCAAGAGGTTAGCCAGATTAACATTTTATTTATGAATACATATTTTTGTTCTCACCACATTGGCTACGTAGTAAGACTACTCTAATCTTTATTGAACTATCATAGCAATGCAAGGTGTATAAAATTACAAAGCTCATTCTTATGTTCTTTGCTACATTTTTGGAAAAGTAGTAATTCTAGTTTTAGTTATAAAAACTGGTACTATTAAAAACTAATTTCTACCATTTTGATATCCACTGATTACTGATAACAAAACTATAAATTTACCTATTGTTTTGTATGGGTGTGTACTTGGTCTGTCATGTTAAGGGAAGAACACAGATTGAGAGTGTTTGAGAACAAGTTCAGTAAAATATTTGGACCAAAGAGAAATGGAGTGACAGGAGGCTAGAGAAAACTGCAAAAGGGAGAAGTACATAATTTGTACTCTTTCACCATTATGATGCTGAAATCAAGGTGTTGGATGGAGCATGTGACATGTATAGGGAAATGAGATATGTGCACAAAATTATTTGAAAACCAGAAGGGAAGAGACTACTCAGAAGACTTAGATGTAGATGGGAGGAACCTATTGAAATGGATCTTTGGGAAGTTAAGTTGGAGGGTGTGAAATGGGATCATTCAGCTCAATACAGAATAATCAGCATTTAATGGTTTTAAATACTGATGCCATATAAAATATATACTGTTATTTATTGTAAATAGGTATATTAACAATATAATACCTTCTTACATATGTGCTAATGGAATGATGGTAGAATGAGTTTTGGGTTGTTTCATGGCAGCTGTGAGTTCTTCCTTACATTAAAAGAACATGTTCTGATGATTACTTGTTTGCTAATGGACTGCTTGTAGGTGGCAGGCTTGGTACAAATTTTGAGAGGCAATTTTCTTTTGTGATATATCTTTACACATTTCTTGTACCAAAGGCTGCAGTACTCTAGAAATTCTATATAATAACCTTTTATTTGGTCCCAGAGTTCATATTATGCTCCTTGTGGTGGTTGAATGAGGTAAAATTTAATGTCCTTATCATAGTATGAGGTTCATAACTTTTGCCCAGGATACTTTTGTCTCTAGGATCTGCATATGCCCTCAGCCTCCCTACAGTTATCATTCCTCTTACTTTCAGTTTTGTATTGTTACAAGTTTCTTTTAGTTCCCCCCCACCTCGCCATTATCAAGAAAGTCCAGTGCAGACAAAATACCAGTATCTGCTGGGAAGTGTTTCTGTACAGTACAACGTCCATTTAATGTTTTCTGATCAAAGGTGTTACTCATTTCAGATCAAATATCTGTAGTTCCATTACTATTATATCTTTCTTAAAAATACCCATCATTTAAGTTTTTCCTCAATTTAGTGTTATAAACATCCTCCAGAGGAATCTTAACTGGAGATTTCACAGTCATTTTCCTATTGCAGAAGTAAATTAGAATTTTTCTGTTCCAAATTTAACTTACGTAGCTTTAACATCTTGCTCTCCATACACAATACAGTAAAATGTCCCATGGATGTCATCAGAATTCATTATATTTAAATACCAGCTCAGAAAAGGGTTAACTGGAAGTAAGTGGGTAATTGAGTGGTAATATAATATTTGACATTAAAGATACTTCATAAAATGTAGTGGGAGTTGGAAGGAGAGTTAAGTTTTAAAAGTATGCTAAATTATTGTGTAGTAAATATTTATTATTTTTATTTAAAAACATAATACTATAAATTAGTTTATACTCATTCCTTTCCAATATACATAAAGTGATAGTTAACCCATGTCTCATCAGCATTTCATGTAATCAACAAGCACTGGAACAGGTGTACAGCGTTGCATGCTTGTAAAATTTACTATAAACCTGATGCTCACATGTTCAATCTCATACTTACTTCTGGTAAAGCAACCCAAAACAGGTTGGCTATCCATTTTCCTTCAAGATAAGTAGTTGTGACAACACGAATATGTATGACACAGCAGATGATTTTTCATTATCCCTTAATTCACTGATTATGTCTCTCCATTATCACTATATGTAACTGATGGCTGAGTAGTAAAACTACCAACACTGCTATTAGAAACTTTGATATCAGGTACGAGAGCAAACATTTTTACTGTATATAAGCCTCTTGGAAGGTTCTTCTGTTTCTGCTCTTTAATGCAACGCAGTCCTGCCTTCCTGAACAGTGTTCGGAGAAGGGAAATTGGTCGAGTCACAGATGAATCTTCCTCATGGATGTCAACTTCATCAGATGATGCTAGGTTTTCCTTTACGACTAAAATACCATTTGGTTTTAAGCCCTGCCTGTAAGAGACACAGTGTACATGAATCTGTAACAGTCAAAAATTACATTGGAAATGCATAATTACAAGTACTACAAGACTCATGTATTGTGTCATGTGAACAATAAAATATTAATCATAGAAGGAAACTGACACATGTATGTTATCATGTTTTTAAGGTTATGAGTTGTACTTTGTAATTTAAAAACATGCAACAGGCTTATTATTTCTTTAGTTCAGCATTTTGGAGTTTACTAATCAGTATTATCTGTTCTTCCCCCTAGATGGTAATACAACTGTCTACATATTCCATTAGAATTTATTTTGTATCTTCTATTAAATACATTTGTACATCATCTTCAGTATCATTCTCAGTCCTATTCCGATTGATATATCATTGGACACTTCTAACGAATCCCATTTCAGCAGATTGCATCCTGCTTTCTTTCCCCATTACCCCAAAATTAAGTTACATATGCTCACGAGCTTCATAACTGCTTTGTCCCTCAATTTATATTAAGGGAAATAATAGGAATTCTCGGAAACAGCTCAAAATATCAAGGTTTCTGGGGAGCATTCAGGTGTATTATGAAGACATACTTGCATGACTTGAAGAAATCTACTAGATCTTCATCTGTAAGATGCCCCAAAACCCACTGGCACCATATTATATCATATGTATTTTGTTTTGGTGAGAAATCCTGAAGACCTGAAACAATGTCAATGACATACAAGAGCACATATCAGTATGGGGTGGAATCAGACTTGGTACCATTTGAGTAAATCACACATAATGTTAATTATTCTGACTGTATGAAGGGTTAAGTCCTTTCATGTGCAACCATTTGAATATTGTAACCTGTATGTTTACACTTGAAAAGACACTTAGTGTCTTCAAGTGTAAACAGTTTTGTTTGTATGTATGATTTTACATATCAATACACTGCATGGAATGCAAGGTTTTAACTGTATGATAAAGTTTATTTCTGTAATTCATCTAGATTAATGTGTGTTCTATCGAATTTTTCTGAACACCATCTTCTTTCTTAACTTCCATTTTAACAATATATTTACATTAACATTATATTCACAATTCCTTCTGAGATCTGAGGATCTCACCACTGTAAAAATATTGTGATGCCACATGGTCTTGTAGGTGGTTTATAACATTTCAGAAGAACATACCAACTCCTTCATGATTAAAATTTAGGATTGGATATGAGGCATTTATATAAGCCAATGGTTATGTGCAGAAAAGAAAGAAGTGATAAGTGGCTGAGGAGTCCTGAATAGGATAGCTTTCTTGGTTCAGATTACTGTAAAATGTTTTAATGAATGTAACTTTTATTGTTCTTACCAACACAGTACAAATTCCCAACTTTTTGGCATGTTCCAATGAAATGTTTTGCTTCTTCTAGGAAGGTTGAATTTTGTTCAACCAAATCAACTTCATCAAAGAAGTGGAGAAGAAGATGTTTTGTTATTCTTCCAATCCCAGCTCCACAGTCTAAAGCCCGTTCATGACCTGGGGGATTCTGTAACTAAGTTAAAACATTATGTAGTTTTTACCCTTGTATTTATGAATTTTATGTTTGCAATAAAGTGGAGTATACTCTTAATTATCTGGCCTAATAGAAGGGAGAGGAAGCATGAATGATTGTAGAACACATAATCAGAAGTTACTATAATTTCAACTTGCATTTGTTGCATGCCAGTGTAACCCTAAAACAAACTACAGTAATATCATGATATGAAACTGAATGTCACGGTGTGATCTACAAGTTCTTTATTTATACTATAGTGATGGTAAAAATTATGTAAAATCAAAGGATATGTGAGTATGCTAATGAATAAAATCCTCTCGGGCGATCAGCCGCGTCAAAATGTTGAACAATAACACCGACGTTTCAGGGACCGTCTCTGTCCCCATCATCAGGATTCTGATGTGACCGGGTTATGTAGCTGTCTCCCATATATTAGATCTATATTTAAATTAATATTGACATGCCAGTGTTAAAGTGGTTTATGTAAAATGCTTTTAATGTTATATAAAATGACGTTTCTTGCTAATATCACATGAAAAATGTAAGGTAATTTGGTGTGCTTTCTAGGAAATGTTACTAACTTTAGTATAAATGATCTTCATTGATTACAGTGAATAAACTGTAAACATACATCTAAAACACTCATATACTCTTCTTTTTTGGCTTTGATTAACTCATATAAGAGTTATGAACTTTTAGCAAAAGGAAAATGAGTAGATTCAGGTAACTGGAACAAAATTTTTAACAAGTACAATTTGGGAAATTATAGTAAACAGACTTACAAATTATTATGTGAAGAATAGAATAACATGTGTAGACTTGTTAGTAGATGCCAACATTTTGGAGAAACACTTGTATCTACTGACATGTCTACAGAATATCATCATCCTCACTGCCATAAGAACCTCTTACCTCCATAGAGTAATACTTCATAAATTAAAAGAGAATTATAAACAAATGGATTTACATCATTTGGTCATGTAGAATGAATGAAGGTAGATTGTGCAAAGTATAGGTTGCGCGAGAAGTGCTGGCACTTGCACAAAGGACTGATTTTGGTCATATGAGATGGACCCATCTGAAGCACACGCTAGAGGGGTGTCAGCTTCAGTTGGTTTGTAGTTCTAGCTGTGTTTAGATCGGTGCATCACTGCAGGTGAGGCTGTGTGATCCCCACTACTACTGAACTCCCCTCTCTCAGCTTACACATCACACATTTGGGTGCCACGACTTCTCGCGCGACCTTTAGTAATGGAAATTAAACAAAAGGAAATTAGTCTGTAGTTATGTTAGAACATGAGGGGTGGACAGAAGTGATAGACATGAAACTATGGGAGACCAGATAGCAATAGAAATTGAACCTTCACAACTGAACACAAAATCTCATAATGAAAATATATACCACAGTAAAGTGAACTTACAATTATTTTTTTATCCTACCTTGAATAATTTTTTCAGGAAAGACACTGATCCTTGTATGTCAGTTCGAGAAACAAAGCCGAACCCCCCCAGCACCCCATCAATAGTAGGAGGAACTGACGACCAATACTCTGCTGCATTAGTGTAGAAGGATGCTCGGTCTTTTCCTTCAGTTTCAACTGCACTTGAGTCAGCTGGCTCCATATCAGTCAATACAAACTTAAAAAGAAAACAATGTAACTCATCCATCACGTTAGTGTTACCGATATATAATTTTGATGAAAGAAATAAAAGATAAAATACTGTTAATACCAATTTAGCAATTGGATATGATCCTGAGTCAGTTCTATCCACATCCTACTCTCAAAACCTGTGCCCATCTTATCACTCTTCAGCCAGTTCAGTACTGTTGATGACAGGACAATAATAATGAGACATAAGTCTTGTGACTATTGTATGGTATCAGTATGGAACAGAACCCAGAATTAAGGCCTTTTATTTGTAGGCCAGACATTTTATGTCTGATGTCATCCTAAATGTCACCTCCTAACCATCAGGCTCAGTATATCTGGGCGACTTTCTAAATTCAGAAACAAAAGTATATTTGTCTTAAGATAATTTGCAACAGCTTACTCCTGATACCCATAATTTGGATATCAAAATCAGGCACAAAACTACTGTGGTCTAAGCCATGGACATAAAACACACACACAGTTTCTGGTTGCATATGACTTTAAAGGAAATAAGTGAGCTTCGTGGTAAAAATTTGAGACCACAGAGTAAGAGTATGTATTCTTTAGAATCAAGATGTGTGTAAATGGTTGGAATTGAATTGAATAGTAAATATACTAAATTCTTGAAATGTTGTGAAAGGATGTATCTTACTGAACTAAAACCTAAAATATATCAATGTTATTGGTTGAAACAACCAAAGGACTGGAAGTAATTGTAATTTAATTTTAAGCAAATTTGTCCAGTTTTCCCGTGTTTTTTTTTATTATTATTTAGTGTTCTGTCTGACGACAGGTCCATATGAACAGGATCCTTCCATCCTTTTCTCGGACTGGGACCTGTTCATATACGTTCTTGGCAGATGATCCAGAAGTGGTTTGCAATTGCCTTCTATACTATTTTTACTTCCCTTACAATGCAGGTTAGTTTTTAAAACTGGCATTCATTATCCCACCAGTATTAGAAAATTTCACCTAAAAATTTCAAATAATACTCAACACAAAATTTACTGGGTATCAAATATTGTCAAAACGGACTTGTAGGTTATGTTGGGCAAAGATATTCAAAAGTTTCGCCCATTATAAATGCAGGATCTTTCAAATCATAGCTGTAGGCAGCATATACCATGGTAGACCTACATGAACCTGTCTGCTTTATTTAGTTATACATGTAAGCCTGCTTAAACAATCGATTAACATACCACCAATCAAGATATTACAAGGAGACAACTGGCGTGCTCCTACCTTATTGTAACGCCATTTGTTTCTTTCGCAGGATAGCCAACGAAGCACGTGTAATGCATAGAGATCTGACCTAGCATTAGACTGATCATGTTCTATTGAGCCAATCAATCTTCCAGGAGGAGAACCATTTAGTAACAGACTTTAGTGTGGTATTAACTGTGGTTTCCAACATGGCAGATGTTAGTGAATCGGTGAAGTTAGTAGAAGCGAAGAAAAGGTTAACAGCAGCCAGAAAGAAGGTATGTGATGCATGTATATATTTATTTGAAGACGTGCAATAATATGACTCTGTAACACTACAGCAATAGCTATGGTTGGCTGGCAATGTAAAGGTTTTGCTGGACGATGTATGTGGTTGTACACGTCAGGAACAGTGATGTGACGTGACGTGACGAAGGGTGGTAGGAAGGCTGTAATGCTGTGTGGAATTGTAGATTAATTATTCCTCCAGAACGCTGTGTTAAAGTTGACATGGCATTCAGACTCAGAAGACCAACATTGACAAAGTGTTGATAGAATTAATGTCAAGAGTGGAGATATACATAATCAACAAGCCCCTTCGAAATGGTACCATTTAAATATGAAAGGCAAATGTTCAGATAGTGGATGTCTTTGACTTCACATAGAACTTCAATCTGGTAGCTCTGTAGATACCAGTATTTCCCCAAGTCGTTTGTATCAGCCTTCAAAATGATATGGCATAACCCCAAAGAACAGTATTGCAAAATGCTGGTAGAATTTGTTGCTGTAGTGCAGGTGCATACAGTCACCAAGCACCTTGGTAATGTTACTTGTTACCTCAAGCCTTACTTACTTGTTTAAATTTGAAAGTCATACACTCAGATTACTGAGTTCTTCGACAGTTCATATAAAACTCAACATTGCTAACATTTTGTTATACATTCTCCCAAAGAAGTACAAGGTATTTTCTGAGCAGATAACAATTGGACCTGCAATGTTGACTTAGCAATGCTACATTGAAATAGCTGTAATGAGCACGAATCATCTAGAGTGCCCCATTTTGAACGAAGACAGCAGTAAAACATAGGTTACCAAATTGAGGTCAGAAACTGCCCAGTTTCTGAGCATTAAAATGCTGCTGCTAGTAAGTTCTTTGTTTATATTATTTCTGCTTTTCATCTTGCACTGCTGCCATTTGGTCAATAATTAGATATAATAATTTATAAAGTGAGAATAGATGGGACTAAGAATAAGTTTGTAAGCATCCTTCCTACCTAATGATCATCTGAGCATATGCAGCCATAATCTAACCCTATCTGTCAAGTGATATCCATTTGCTCGCATTTTATGATTTGGGAATCGCTGAGTGGAATTACGTATTGCCGTTATGTCATAGGTCGCTGCTCAAAAATAATGGCTTGGGATTATGTCAGGAATACATTTGAACCTTCAGATTCTGTCAGAATGTTGATTGGTGCATTACACCCTGCTCTTCTGCAAGTTTAAAGTTCTAAGGGTAGTGTTTTAATGATTCTAATTCCTTGGTGACTTAGGGAAGTGGAAATAAAGTTACTGATCAGAGGTAGATTTTGCAATAACGAAAGCGGATTGTTGACGGCAGTAATGTAACACAACAATGCCGAGTAAACAGATGACACAACAATTAGTTTCTTAGGTAACATAACAATTCAAGCAGGAGTTCATATAAAAGCTGACCATTGTTGTCAGTCCATATTTACACATTGTTGATATGGATCTTTCACATGTTCGTTACACATCTTCGTTACGCTTTTCTGCCGAATGACCCTTCCGTATAGACATATTTACGTCAAAAATGTTAACTCCTTCAACTGTTTGCGATTGTAATCGTGAGACTTGCAAGGAAGCCCCGAAGCATTAAAGGCTACTGCATAGCAGACAGTATGTTTCCTCCTTCACCCCACTTCCTCCCCCGCAAGTCTCAAGATTACAGTCGCAAACAGTACTCAGTAAAAGAATTTATTAATACGTGTAAGTAATAATGGTGATGGTTCTCATCATAATTATTTTGCTGTAATACTGTAGTTCCAAAATTCTGCCAATAGCTGTTATAACTATGTATTTATATTTGTACTAGAAACAAGTATTGTATTTGTGCTATGACCTGTTCTACATCCTTGGCTTAGGCCTATGAAGGATCTATGTAATGTAAATAAATTCTATTCTATTGCTCAGATCATATAGCATTGGACAAGAAGATGATTACAAAAAACAAAAAGTTGACAGTGGAACAACGGTTCCGCAGAATCTGACGTAAATACATTTATGTAGTGTAATGTAATAATTCTTAAGTACTTACTTGTGATATTCTAAAACGTTTTTACCAGCACAAAATTATCTAGTCTACGACGCACGTCTACAAGCGATTCACAGCTCAGCTTTTTAAGTAATAACGAAAGCGGATTGTTGACAGCAGTAATGTAACACAAAATTGCTGAGTAAACAGTTGATGTAACAGTTAGTTTCTTAGGTAACATAACAATGCACGCAGGAGTTCATCTTTGTTATGCTTTTTGCCGAATGACCCTTCCGTATAGACATATTTACGTCAAAAATGAAATTGTTTCCTTTTTCATTGCAACTGAAATTAAGATATCATTAATTTAAATCATTAATTTTATGTATGTGTAATTCTGTTATATTTTTCAGCTTAAAGAATATCAGCAGAAGAGTAGAGACAGTCATCCTGCTGGAATTATAACCTCAGAAAAGAAAATTACACCTAAGCTTCAGCTTGAAGAAGGTGGAGGTTCTTTGGAGCAAAATTTAGTGTTTGATTCAGGGCCCAAAAATCTTGAACATAGTGAGGTACAAAGTGCAGTAAATTAGTTTATATGTTCTTAATTTGTGTATTTATGAGTTTTTAGATAACATAGCATTCCGTATTATTTTAATTACAGATTGGAATTGGAACAAGTGATGGTAGCAAACTACAAACTTTTATTGAACCTTCATCAGAATTACAAGGAAGATTATATGAACCAGTAGAACCGAAAGAAATTGATGCTTATTGTAGTACAAGTAATGATAAAATTAATGAATTAAACATAGAAGAAGCTAATATCTCTCACAGTGGAGTAATGAATGAAGTAGAGAAAAATACGTGTAAAGGGTATACAAGTAGTGACATTTCTTCTTTCAATGCTATGCCCACAAAT